TCAGATTCAAGGAATGACTGCATTACCTCCAGATATAGAGCGGCCCTATAAAGCAGAACCTTTGGTGTGTGGGACATCAGCTTCCTCTCCTCTATATGGAAGTTTCTCTCTAAGGTTGCTCATGTGTTATCTGCTTCTTGGAAGCATGCTGAGCACCCAGTGCATCTGACTGTAACTTGTACTTAATGACACTGGTTTCTGGAATCTGAACCTGTCATTTAAAGATGGGTTAAAGACTGTTCATTTTGGGCCTGAAGAGATGGGTGTGAAGCACATGGAGACTTTCATTTCTCTACTCCCTTCATCCTCTCCCTCTGTTCTCCTTCCCAGTCTACCTAAGAGATGTTGCTGGAATTCTCAGCATTTTATCAGAAATACCTGATATTCTGTGCAGATGGCGAATAACGTAAAAGTGGCCTGATTTAACCACTTTAAGAACCAGGAAGTCAAGTGGAAAGAAAATAATTGTTAATTCTTTCTACATTCCATGTTATTTTAATGCTATGACTCAACACCTATCTTTCCTTTCATAACAATATCAAAGGAATTAATCTCCACTCCAGTTTCCTCATTTTTAGATGTAACTTCCAAGTGACCACTGTCTACTGTCTTTACATTTTCCAGCCCTTCTGTTTTCTATGAATTGCTCATGATCTACTAACCTCAGTATCTTTTGATGATACCACTTCAATTTTCTTGCTTCTCTGAGTCTGTTGCTATCCAAACCCATCTCAATTCCCCCTCTCCTCAGTACTGCCTGGTGGACTGTTGTCTTAATCCATCCCTGTCAAAAAGAAAGAGGCTAGGAGAAATGTGGAAATAGTGGTAGCTTGGGAAAAAATAAAAACAGCCAGCTGCAAACCCCTTTCTCCAGGGGTCCTCCAGGAAATGAAAATCCAGATCAGAGCAGTCAGTATAAGCCAGCACCAGCAGGAGGGTATAAGGTCTGTACAGTTTCTTGCCACCCAATCTGAGTCATAATTCCTATTACAGATTTATTTTTATATTAGTTAATAAACTAACTTTCAAAACAAAATTGCCACCAAGTGAAGATCTTATTCTTTTGATTGTCTTTGTATAGTCTAATCAAATTTGTTTTATGTCCTATCTTCATTTCTTAGACTAAATCTGCTTGGATCATATTAATAGACTAAATGAAATTGAAGTTTTTGTATAATATCTTATGTGGTCCTTGAGAATAGCAAGTGATTGAAAACTGATGTCAATAAAACTAGTTGAGAATGTCGTATTTTTCTTTCCCATTTTTAAGCCCTTTCTGACCCTCCAAAAATGTCTTCAATGCAAACTATATTTCTGTTTAAATAAATGCTATGCTTTGGAGTCTTTACATCTTGATTCTTAGAATTTTTTTTTTCATTTGAGGAAATATTGAAGTACTTTATAATTAATTTTACTTATTTTTATTTATAAACATTATATAACAGATTCTGTGTTTTTTTCCACCAATTTGAAATCTTATGTTTATTTTTACTTCAGATTTTCAAATTCTGAAGTACCAAAATCAAATGATTTCCATGGGAAATTATATTTGTTTTCATTGTTCTTGGTAAAGAAAGTGAGCATACTTACCAGGAAATGGTGAAGAGCTTCGAAGTTTGCTCTGAGGGATCTCTTTCCACTGACATTAGTAAGGACCAAGCTGGCACTGTTATTCTCTTAGGATTTCTTATGACTATATATGGTTTCAAGTAACCATGTACAGGCTGGAATTAGGATAAATTACGTGGTGAGAAGTTGTGGAGTACTGATTATAGTCTAAATTGTTTGATCTTGTACTAAGAACACCATTCCTGAATCTCCCAGCCTTCTTCTTTTGTAGAGACTGTGTTGCTGTGATCGATTAAATCACCATTAGTGGCTTCCTAGGTTTATTAGGCAGGGATGCCTGACACCTGAGGGAGAACTGCATCTATGGATGATGGTCCCTGCTTTGCTCTTTAGATGCAGGGAATGGGGGGGGGATATTTTAATGGAATTCAATATTCACCAAAGTTGAAGGGACCTTGGTCATCATACTTTTCTGAAGGGGTCACAGGCAGAATCCTAGCAGTGATAAGGCTTAGGCAGTCAGCAGAGGCAGATATATTAAGACCTTAACCCGACCTCTTTTCTAGTGTCCACAGGGGCCAATGAAAGGAGCTTTTGGAAGCAGAAAGAAATTGCACTAGACAATTTGTGTGATCAAATTCAGAGTCATTACTGGGCATGTAGGCCACTTCTGGGTTTTTATATGATGAGTGTCAATGACTGACATCCTTTGTGCTGATGATTTTTTTTGTCAACGTGACACAAACTAGAGTCGCTTAGGAAGAAGGAACCTCAGTTGAGGAATTTCCTTCATTGGAATTGCCTGTGGCCATGTATGTAAGGCATTTTCTTAATTGCTGATTGACGTGGGAGGCCCCAGTCCACTGTGGGCAGTGCCATCCCTGGGAAGTAGGCCTATGGGATATATAAGAACAGTAAATGAGTGAGCCAGGTGAAGCAAGCCAGTAAGCAGTGTTCCTCCATGGTTTCTACTTCAGTTCCTGCTTCCAGGTCCCTGCATAAGCTCCTGCTCCGACTTTCCTCAGCAATGGACTGTGTCATGGAATTGTAAGCCAAATAAACCCTTTCCTCCCCAAGTTGTTTTTCATCCATGTTTTATCACAGCAATCACAACCGATGTAGGACATAATGAAAACTCTCATATCTCTAAGTACAACTGATTCAGGATAGGAGGAATCGGAGAAGTCATCATGTGCATTTCCAAGAATACTGAAGAACACCCACGGTTGTCCTCAACTTACTCTCAAATGGTTCTGACTTCTGCATGCTCATCTTCTAGCTATGGAAAGCATAAATTATTTTAAATGATAAAATGATAACAGTTGGGGAGTTTGGTGAAGGGTAGAGGACTTCATTGTATTCTCCTGTAGTTATTTTAAAGTTTGAAATTATAACAGAATGAGAAATTACAAATGCAAAGGTATACAATGAGTCCAGGTGCAAACAGCAAATAATCCAGGGAGTAAGAATCCTAAAAGCAAAGATGAGAGAACCCAGATGTGGTAGCACTCACCTTTTATCCCAGCACTTGGGAGGCAGAGGCACATGGATCTCTGTGAGACCAAAGCCAGCCTGGTCTGCATAAAGCAAGTTCCAGGCCAGCTGTGGCTACAGGGCAACCTTTTCTCAAAAAACAATAACAACAATAGAAGATTTATGCCTGGGAATCATTAAAAATATGCACATTTAGGCCAGGTGTGGTGGCATACGCCTTTAATCCCAGAGCTCGGGAGGCAGAGGCAAGTGGATCTCTATGAGTTTGAGGCCAGCCTGGTCTCCATAGCGAATCCAGGCCAGCTAGGGCTATAGGGAGATCCTGTCTCAAAAAGACCAAAAAAAAAAAAAAACAAAAAACATTTACTTGGCTTTCCCTTTGATTATAGATTACAAACCTAATGTGTGACAATGCCTATTCACTGGATAAAAGTTGAAAATATGGTGATTTAGAAAAAAAAAGAAGACCTATTGCCCAGGAGATACCACTTTTGACTTTGTAGTATACGTGCTTTTAGTACATGTCCATGGAGGTATGCACTCGTGTGTATCCATATGTAGATGTGAATAGAGAACACAAACTTCTGAAACAAATTCAAAACATTGGTGGTTTAATGAAAACATATTTACTTTGTATTTAGAAAATAGTTCAGCAAGTGTGGTTCATCTGGTTATTATCTTTCCTTCTTGTGGTAAGTCAAAGACTCAAAATCTTGTGGTTCCATCATCCTCAGTGCTCAAGGATGTTCTGAATTCAGCTGCTACTGGAGAAAGACCAGACCTAGAAGGGACACAAATCACTTCCACTTGCACTGTATTGGTTAAAATTATTCACGTTGCCTCACTAAAATGCAAGAGGGCCTGGGAAGATAATCTGTTATCTGGACAATGGAATTCTGCAGATGGAGAGAGATCTCTGCGGCAGGACATGTTGTTAACAAAATTGCCTTTCATCTAATCTGATGATTCTAAGATTTTGAGTTCGAGAAGTAACTACCAGACTATATCAACTAGACATTTTATAATATAGGATCCAAACAGAATCATTGTTATTATTATGACTCTTGTTGAATGTCTACTTAGATAGGGCTCTCAATGAGTGATAGACTTAAAACTGTGAGAAAAATTAGACATCATCTGTTCTGTGATGAGAAGTAGAATCTCATGATGAAGCCCCTAAATGAGCAGTCAAAACTGGCTATCCACAGTTCATTTCTGGAAATGAATGGTTTTAGAACAAGTGTCAGTCTTATAAATCAAATCAATATAATTTTATGAATGGCCCACTTCATCAGAGACCATTCCTTTTCATAGATGATTAGGCCATAAAACTCATTCATCTTCTTAGTCCCAAAGATCTTGATTGACCATCCAAATCCAACAGAGTCAAATTGATATTTTGTGAGCAGAAGATCTCATAGACTCATGGAAGAATCAGTTATTGCCTAGGGGAGAGCTGTGTTCTATGAAAAATATAAGGAGTCATGAAAATTGTTAGAAAGTACAGCAGGCTGACTGCAGAACTTTTTAGTGTCTAACATGTGCCTCTGAAGTCCAGTATAATTTGGATAATATGACATAATTCCCAGATACATTGGCCACTATACCAAGGGTAGTGAGACAATATTTTTCAGGTAACATACTCTGCAATATAGCTTTTTGAACAGAGTAGATCTAGGTACCTATAAGAAAATTTGGGGCACTTCCAAGCTATTCCCAAGCAACTACAAATTCTGGTCCAGTTGACATGGACCTTGCATTTGCAATCATTGGTCTGTCCTTTATTTGCTGTTTTATTTTGCCTATAATTAAATCATTTGTTGTTTATTAGAGTGCTGCAATTTACAGACAGAAAAGACTTTACCTTTTAAAAGAAGAATGTTATAGGGATAACCAACAGCTTTCTAATTGGGCTTAATTAAGGACCCTCCACAGGAGAGAACTTATACCTACCAGGTGTGAATCTGAGAATCTGTGGCTTGGGAAATCATAGGTCCCAGGGGAGAACTTGTTACTATTGTTTTGCTAAATAGACACAATATCAAACTGACTTCTTTTTTAAAACAATATGTTTTATTATTATTTTTATTTTATGTGTCTGAATGTATTACCTGCATGTATGTAAGTGCACCTATGTCATGCAGTGCCTATGCAGGACAGAAGAGGACACTGGATCCCCTGGAACTGGAGTTATAGAGAGTTGTTAGCTGCCATGTGGGTGCTGGGAATCAAACCCAGGTTCTCCGCAAGAGCAGCTAGTGCTCTTAACCACTGAGTCATCTCTCCAGCTCCTCAAACTGCCTTCTAAATACCAATCAATCAGTATGCACACAGATTAGTACAGCTCTCACCTCTCATAGAGAAGCCTCTTTTTATAGTGGTTGGTCATTAATACAGAGATCCACAACTGGCCAAAGTACAGAAAACAAGTGACTGTGGCACGTTCAGCCCTAAATGTGACTTCTATATCACACCCTTTTCCCCCAAATTTCAGGGATTGTCACAGAAGAGGGGAAGAAAGATTTTAAGAGACAGTGGTCAGGAAGGACTGCTGCAAAATGGTGTCTTCTGGATAGGACAGGACCACTGCACTCATGAACTCACAGCAGCTCTGGGTGCCTATACAAGACCTGCCCAAGATCAAGGCAGTCAACATTCCAGCATGGATGGGGAAGGGGCTCATCCTGCCTCCCCCTAGTTGAGGTGTCAGTTGATGGCTACTGGGGGAGGGAGAGGCAACTTTCAGGGCTGTGGGCCATGGTGGGTTGCTCATGCTCCAGCGGATGGCCTTACACCCAGGCACACGCTGGTGGCACTAAGTGGATTTAGAGAGATATTAAAGGAGAAGGAGAGGGAGGAGGAGAAGGTATGAAGTTGGGAGAGGATGTGGGGGTAGGCATCCAGAAGTTGAAGGGCAAGAGTGGGGAGTAGAATTATCTAAATACATTGTATACATGTGTGAAATTACCAATCAATGAATTTTAAAACAAGACTATACCAAAACCAATTATGTAGCATAAATAAGGTGTTAAAATGTTGACAAATATGACTAAACATGTTTGGAACGTTTCAGCAATGTGGATACAAACTACTTTAATTCAATGGGCAATCTCAATTCCCAAGAGAAAGCTGTATTTTAAAACCATGATTTATTTCCTAACAATGAAAGGGGAAAATTAAGAAACAAGTCTCATGAGATGTATTTGAAGTAACCACCTGTTATACCTTCTGGACCCTCATCTGTTTTCTGTTACTAAGAACAAATAATTACCAGTGATTTGTTTG